AAAAGTAAAAAAACAAAATAGAAGATCTAATTATTACAAAAGATCTAATCTGATCTTGTAATACAGAATTTGAATTTTATTGTTCTATTTCAAACTATTTCGAAAAATTAGCCTAATGCATGATTCAGGTTACAGATCTACTGATTCAAAATATTTCATAATATATTTTGAAATATTTTGTAATATATTTTGAAATATTTCAAAATTATTTTCGAAATATTGTGAAAATTTAATATTTTGTAATATTTTGAAATATATTGCGAAATATTTTGCTTATATTACGGTTTGTAAAATCTTACATAAGATTACGCTATTATAAATTTGCTGATAAAGTATATACTTATTTAGGTATATAGAACAACTGGAGCTGTCTAGATTAAAATAATCATTATTTTCTTAATTGTCCTTTTCATATTGATTAAAAAAAGCTATTAATTGCTTTGCAAAATTAGATAAGCAAATTTAAATATAAAAAAATCTTTATTAGTAGATCATGGTTTGACAGATAAAAATTATAAATAGAATCAAAATAATGGTAAAATAATAACCAATGCTTAAAATGATTATGTAAATAAAAAATGCCAAGCTCAGCAGACCTTCTTTATTTATAAAAATTATTATTGCCAGAATAACAATATACAAATAAAAAAATGCAAATAATTTTTTTATACTACTCAATTTCACCATTATTATATCTTTTTTGATCATTACAATCACTACTAGCACTATCTCCATACTATATATAATTGTTTAAATTATACTTCTTATCAGAATCATAGTCTGGATTATCTAAATTAATATACAGAATTAAATCATATTTTATTTTTTTGATTTAAAATAGATATAGAATTTTATTTATCATATCTGTTTCTTCTATTTCTATATTAGTGATTAGAATTAAATATTCTTTGGCTAGGTTTTGGATTAGGTAATATTGTAGTCTCAAATATTATTAAATTTGGATAATATAGATTACCGGTATATACTTTTTTGTATAATTAGAAAATTCTTGATACTTCTATTTAAGTCTATTGCCATTCTATACCAATCTATAATGTTAAAATTTTGTCATCATTATTTGTTCTCTAATTTGATAAACAACCACATTATAAAGTCTCTGAGATTACAAGAGATCTCTAGACTATGTGTTTATAAAATTATTTATATTAAAATTAATTTGAATATTTATTATTAACTATTTCATAATCTCACTACTGGCTGTTTTAATATATAAATTGATTCTAGAGTATTTTTTATTATATTGTAGATCAATTTTTATATTTGGTAAAAACTGAGACTGTATTGAGGTAACAGAATAGACAGTATTGGAAATACTACTATTATTAGTTCTAAAGGTGGTAACATTAGTTATGGTGGTGGTGCTATTATTAGTTTTGGAGTAGTAGTAATATTGGTTATGACGGTAGTACTATTATTAGTCTTGAGAGTAATAGTATTATTAGTATTAGGAGTAGTATTATCATTAATACTTATTTTTTATTTTTAAATACAAAAAATTAAAGTAAGCAAAAATTCATTTTCATAATCTTCATTAAATGAAATAGCAAATTACTTTAAAATAAATTACAGGCAAGTAAATTAAATAAAAATATATATAAACAAAAAATAACATTATTGCTAACTTATCTTGTAGGCAAAAGCTTGCTTATTTTTATATCTCTATTCGCTAGATCTAAAAAACTTGCTAAAAAAAAGTTATACAATTAGTAATTACATTATTCAAATTCAATGCCAGTTTTTTTTCTCTATAAAGCAACTCTGCTCAGTTATAAATTAAGTTATTTTGTTATTTTTCTGATAAAATTAGACCCCTATATTTGATAATCTTTTTTGTAATATAAAAAAGTTAATGATCTTCTAGTAATATATGAATTTTGATAAAACTACTGATTAAGAATGTTGTATTCTTTCTATTTATAGCTCTTTTAAGTCCTATTTGTATCTTTTCTTATTGTGAGATTGTATATTGTAATACTTCAAAATTTCATCGAATTTTAATATTTTTCTATTTTCTTTTCTTTTTCTTATATTTTATTATATTCTTATTATATTTTTATATTTTATTATATTATCATTATATGTAATTATTATTATTTTTTTTTATAATTCGGCTATCCTGCCACTTTTTATTGAGATTAAACTATACTAAGAAATTTACATTTTCTAATAATAGCTGTAACTAATCCACCTGTAAAGTAATGTACCCACGCTTTCGCCAGGTATGACTTGCCTCAGTAGACTTCAAGCTTCTCTCCGGGCCTCTAACTTACTAGAGGTTATCCTTTGGTCATGGGCTGATGCCACACACCGTATCAAGGTTAGCTTTACTTTTTCCAATATAAAATACAAACACAAATATAAAGGGCAAAATAAAAATAGGAAAATACTATGGCGTCGAATTCTGGTCCACCTAAACCAATAAAACTAACAAAAAAAAAAACATATAACGAAAAGAAGAAAACAAAAGAAAAGAAAACAAAGATAGCACTATTAAACATGTGCTGGATTGTAAAAATTATATAGTACTACAAATAAACTAGGCTAAACTCTACGCTAATCATTTTTGTCTATATTTAGGATGTAAAAATATTAAAAACCATCCGGTCTTAAAGTAGAGCTCCAAGCGTCAAAACTTCTGTATGCTATCTCAAGCCTGTCGGCAAACCTTCTGCAATGTTTCAACCTGTATATTCCTGGACAAAGTTAACGAGCTGTTGTCCGTCGACCCACATCAGCGAATCAGGCACTCTCAATGTAATCACCGCAACCTCTTGAGGAAAAAGTATCTTACACTATAACCCAAAGCATACATGTACACATGTACGTGTATTTCCTTTTTCAGCAGCGATTGTTGTTATTGATCCTTTAATGGGGATACGCCGTTTTTCCCACTTTTTGGAGAAATTCCGTAAAGACCAAGAAAGTGGAGTATGGAGGAGGGTTTCGGTTTGCAGATAACCTTAAACTTCG